ATTGTGGATCTTCCGGTGGATTATCCCGTGCCACCAGGGTCCATATACTGCTACACTCGAGTACATTCGATAAAATCGTGGAGATCTTTAACAAGGTTCATCAATTGACCGCTTTGACGATTGTTCCGGATCTTCCAGGGTCCATAGTCTGGCCATAAAATCAAAATCATTCTGATAACACATCAACAAGGTTTCTAGAAAACCGCGGAGTGATATGACCTTTTTCACGAATTGACTACAAATCAAGAAATTCCGGTGGGTTATCCTCCACCAGAATTATTTCTAATCAGACGTCTCTAAGTGGATAAAAAAAAGTCTGTGGTGGTCTAGGACCAATAGATTGATGAGTTGTACGGTTGTTCCGGATGTTTCTGTGGATTATTCCGTTGCATTCATAAGTCCAAATTAATTTAGATAGCACATTAAAAAGTGTTTTCGAAAGAAGCGTGGAGCTCTAGGCCAATTATAATTATGGTTGTACCGGGTTCCTCGAAGGATCACTCCGTTGTCGCCAAGGGAAAAAAAAACATTCGAAGGAACAGCAGAGCTCTGTCATGAATTCTTCACCTTTACGGTGGTTCCGGATCTTATGGAGGACCAGTCTGCAAATTTTATCAAAAGGTATCCAACTATCTGCTCAAAAATACCAGCATGTTAGCTCTTCAATTAACCCCAAGACTGATCTCTGAAGTTGGGCCCCAATTAGCTCAAATCCCATGTGCTGCGGCGTAAACGTGTAAAGGCTACATACATTTGGCATCTTGTGGTCATCTTGAAAACCATCATTGATTCAGATTTCATATCATTACAAGGCGAGGTATGGGAGGGAATCTTAAAATACTTCTGTTTCTCAAACAAAGTTTTTAATATTTATTCGATTATTCTCCGGGTAGCAAAACTAAATATACACGCTTAGATTATTTTACAGGAGTCAGTATTTTTTTACTGGTTTTTTTAATTGCTTAAAAAGTCGGTAAATATTCAAATGACCGTTATCTGTAAGGAATCAATGAAATCAACAAATTTTATTTTCTATCATTAAATGGGGTTAACAGAACAGCCTGTACTAGTTTGGAATAAATTTTCTTATTTTTAAATTTTACACAAATTTTTAAACTTTTAACGAACAGTTGATGTATTTAGTTTCGATATTCCGTGCATTTCAGAAGACATGGTGATAGCCGAAACACGCAAACTGAAGCTCTCGTTCGCCGCCGGACCTGACGGCATTCCGTCATCAGTTCTAAAACGTTGTGTAGCCAATCTCTGCCTTCCACTTACGAGACTGTTCAATCTCTCGGCACAGCAATGTGAGTTCCCCTGCCGCTGGAAACTTTCTTATCTGTTCCCAGTCTACAAAAAAGAAGATAAACGGAATGTCGCAAATTATCGTGGAATCACCTCCCTGTGTGCCTGCTCAAAACTGTTCGAGATTATCATAAATGATGCTCTGTTCACGTGTTGCAAAAATTATATCGATACAGAACAACACGGCTTTTACCCGAAGCGCTCCGTGTCCACGAACCTGATGCAGTTTACTTCTAACTGTTTGCGATGCATGGATTCATGATGGCAAGTCGATGCTGCGTATATGGATCTAAAAGCTGCATTTGACACGGTGGACCATACTACACAGGAGTGGAGCTTTGGATCAGAAAGTGGCTCCACTTGTCATTTGCGAACACTAGCGCACCTAGCGGTAGAAGGCATCTTCTGCCTGCAGTTAAGAAAGGCAGCATCCTATGATAGTGTGAGTGCACATAGAAAGCCCGTGTGAAACGCTACCACAATACATCGCTTGTTGAGCAGAAAAACGAACCACCTTTTGATTCACCGATTTGTTTGCACTTCCCCTTCTGTTCTGTGCCATAATATCTTGCTTGCCAAGCTGGAGATACTTGGCGTCTCGTCAACGGTTGTGGATTGGTTCAGATCTTACTTGGTGAATCGCTATGTACGGATTAAGATTGGCGCGTCGGAATCGGATATTTTCTCAAACAACTCGGGAGTTCCGCAAGGCAGTAACCTAGGACCGCTACTGTTTTCGATCTTTTTAAACCACGTCGCCTTTCTGATACCATCAGGATCCCACGTTTTCTATGCAGATGATCTACAAATTTATTAAAAATCTCTCGGACTGTTGTTATCTCCAGACTATGTTAGGTATTTTTGCTGACTGGTGCTCAAGAAATTTGATGAGTCTAAGCATCGAAAAATGTATCATTAATTCCTATCACCGAAAAATCGAACCAATCATGTTTGACTATGTTCTCTACGGACGCTGTCTTGCTCGTCGAGCACATAAAGGATCTCGGCGTTACCTAGGACTGCAGACTCACTTTCAGAATCCACTACAATGACATCATCTCCAGAGCTAATCGACAATTGGGTTTTATTTTCAAAATTGCCGACGAGTTCCGTGACCCGCTATTTCTCAGGTCACTCTACTGCCCGCTTGTGCGATCCTTATTGTAGTCAAGTTTAGTTGTTTGGTGCCCTTTCCATGCTAGCTGGATCACTAGAATTGAATCCGTTCAACGCAAGTTTGTGAGATATGCTCTTCGTTTCCTCAACTGGCGTGACCGAATAAACTTGCCACCGTACAAGGAGCGTTGCCGTCTCCTGGGAATCGAACCAATAGAGGTGAGACGGACTGTCGCTCAAGCTATGTTCGCTTGAAAGCTGCTTACGGGTGACATTGACTGACCAACACTGCTGGCTCAGCTAAATATGTATGCCCCTGAGCAGCCTCTCCGTCAAAGCGACTTTCTATTTTTTGGAACACGAGCCAATTCGAGCAATCAGCCGGCAATTCAACAACTTCTTTTATATGTTCGACTTCAATGTATCAGCTGAAGCGTTTCATCATCGGTTACTTGGCCTTTTCCGTACCGTTGAATTTTTCAATATACAAATGAACAAATACAAATCAAAATCAATAGTTCCGCAATTCAAAAACCAAGTAAAACCTTACTGACTGGATAAGTGTGTACGTATTATATTTAACATAATATTCGCGGTGCAAGATCAAGTTTTAAATGCCTATTCAATACTGTTGCTTTTATATGTCGGTCCTGGATCATTGCATTATTCTGAAATTCACTATTTTGTTAAAAACACACTACATAAGTAAGGCTAACTTTGACAGAAAAAATTTTGCACTTAAGGATTTCAATTCCAATGTAGAAGATTAAAGAACATAAGTCACAATCACTCTGCAATCAACATTTTTTTAATTTGTTGCTCTCAATAATGAAAAGCTGGATAAAACTGAAATAAACTGGATGAATTCTCAAAAAAACAGGAAATTTTCAAACTTTCTCTGTTTGACTGGAATTGTCTAGAAAAACTGGAATATTGGCATCACAGCTCAAAGCGATGATGATAGATTCTCCCTCAAATTCTCCAATGTTTCCATCATAAATTCAATTCAAAATTCTCATGAATTATCCTTAGAATTCCAGTGCAATTCACATAAAAAATGTATTGAAATTATTCATGGACTAATGTTGTAGCTCTCATAAACAAAAGCCTCTCAAAATTACCTTGAGTCTCTTCTCAGCATTCATTCAAAATTACACCAACTAAATTCGACTTTATTGGTATTCTACTCGTAATTTCCTTTGAACACTCGTTAGAAATTACTTGGAACATATTCATAGATCCATATCCTCAGAATTTCCTTGGAATTTACTCCAGAATTATGTTGACCCTCTGTTCACTCTGAAATTCATTGGACACTATCCTTAGAATTCCCTATAGATTCTCCTCAAAATTCCTTTAGAGTTTTCATAAAATTATTATTTATAATTCTTAAAAGTGACAGAATCTTGAACATCCAATCCAAAACAACGTCTAATCCCGGAGGCTTAAAGATTTCCAAATGAAATGCCGTCCCCGGAAGGCGATAAGTATGTTTTTGAACCCGGATCGAAGAAACAAATTTTACCGAGAATACCACTTTTTCCGCAAAGCTTGAATCGAGTTCTATCAGTAGCGATTCCCACGCTTTTTCCGCAAACTTCCATAATATAATAGGTTTAATCAAAAATCATCTGCTCAGTAAGCAAAAACGGTCACTATTAGGCCACCGAGTTCTTTACATCCGAACCAACCGCTACGAACGACGATGGTTCAAACTCGGCAACATGAAACAACTTAAATAGAATTGATTTGATAAATCAAGTGGTCAAAAAGTGAGTTCAAAAACCACGTAGACACCTTGAGGGCGGTCCATATGGTCCAAGTTTTCAAAAATGTGTATGTACGATTGTCTACGGAGGGAGGAGGTAGGGAGAGGCAGAGTCTAATACCTAAGAACTGTCCTCGTAATTTATGAACAGCCTTTAAATAGTCGTGGTTCAACCAATTCCGACCAACCTATATTTCGTTTTAATGCGGGTTTTCGTCAATTCACTCCTCGACCATGAGCAACTCTTCCGCACACCACCGTAAACACAATCCGATCAAAGCTCCCGGAAAACGCCACATTGTTCTTAAAAACGACTTCGGTTTCCGAAATCTACATGAATAAATAAAATGGATGGAGAGGCCGCCAATTGATGTGAAAAATGTTTGGCATTTTATTTATCAAAATGATGAATACAAAGCATAGTAATCGAATATTCAGAAGCTATTTTCTGAGGAAAATCATTAAATTTTATAACAATTAGGGTTAACTACTGCATTTTTAGCCTATTAAGTACAACCCGTACTTATTATTTCTTAATCTAGCGTATACGAACTGACTTAACTGAACTAAACTGAACTAAACTGAACGCACCAAACGCATAATTGGCCTGTTAACACCGAATTCATGGATTTATTTGATGCTGTCTGCTTGATAGGCCCAAAATGGGCGCTTAGACCGAAGTAGTTCTCTACCCTATCTTATCCTTGAAGCGAAAAATATATAAAAAGGGCTTCGCGTCTTAGTCCAGATCTTAATGTATCTAAATTTCCACGAATTTAATTGATTCCTCCTTTCCGTATCATTTCAGATAAATCTACTAAACCCGGAGCGTTTAAACCAAAATGACAATAAAGTAAGTCCCAAAAATCCATGGATAAATCTTTGCAAAATGATCGATGTGAGCCATAACCTGTAATCCAATAAATTTGTCTTGTTCCTAAAACCGTATCACCATATTCTCCGGCACATCTTATTTGCAAAAGAGACCTCCGCCTTTCTCTGCCCAATCCCGTGCCCGTTCACCGCACCCCATTTATCTGGTTTTGCTTCATCCCACCCACTCGTAAATCTTCATAGATCGGGTCGTCATCGACCAAACGGGTGAACGAGCTCATGTGGGAAAGTGAAAAATCCGTTTTCGACACAATCCGCGCGAATATGCCAACATAGTATTCACTCTGCAGTGTCCTTTTCTCACTCCCACAGCTGAAGGCAAGCGCATGAAAAACGGCAAACTTCTAAATACCAATCACTGACATAAATCAAAAGTGGTTAATAAAATCCGCTTCCCGGGAGTTTTTCCCTTATCCCAGATGGCACCATGGCAGCTGCCCCCTCCCCGTTCCCCATCGACTTGTTGGCTTCTTTATGTTTAAACAGTTGCACCATCATCATCATCGTCGTCGTTGTCGTCATTGTCGTCGTCATCGTATGAGACCGCTTTGAAACCGGGAACGTGTACCGGAATCAACCCCGTGGATCATCCGCCAAGAGGTGGGGGGAACCGATGGGGAAAAGTCGGAAAAATATGTGCATCCGACGAATTTACGTTCATACTTTCTTCCGCTTGATCCACTTCCAAGGCTGCTGCTAGAAGTACATGGTCCTGCGATTTTTAAGGCATGGAACAAGCGGATGGAAGTCAGTCACAGGAGGAAGCACCTGACTGCACTCTACATTCCCTTTTATGCTACAAAACGGGAAGTCAAGGAAGTACCTAGTAATAAAATAATCCAATAAAACATTTTACGCCCTCTGCTGTGTTCTACTGTTGTGCTCGAAGGTGATGGTCTGGTGCACGGTTCCGCATCCTGAAATGCTAGGTTAACAGTTTTGTCCCGGAATAATTCTAAAAATTATCGAAATTTGTATATCAAAAACATTCAACCTGAAAAACGTTCCTTAACCAGTTCCGACAGCCCTGGGATGCATTCAAATAGTAGCACGAGTACCGACTTCCTCCACGTCTCCTTGCTTCCACGCGACTACTCCTCGTAAATGGCAGGAATCGAAGTTTGTAAAGCTGCCACCCGGTGGGAACGTGCAACGATGATGATGCAACGTGAATCAACAGCACAAAAGAAAGCAGCAGATACAACTAGGTACTAGGACCACTGGTGTAGCAATTGGGAACGTTTTCACACGGATTCCGGGGATCACAGCAACCTAGACGATGGCTGGGTTGGCACTCGTCCGGGGACGTGAGAAAAATTGCAAAATTACAAACTGCCAGCGGAAGGAGAGTGCAGGATTAACGGCGAATAAATAACTTGGCGTGGTGCTATCCATGGTGCCACTTAGTCGTATTTTAATTCGTGACTGTGGAGTTATTGGAATGAAAGGGGGGAAATAGGTCTGTGTAATGGTTTGCTTTTAAAAGCAAGCTGAATCGTCCCGAAGGACGTTTTGGGTTGATGTAAGGGGAAATGCTATTTTTGTAAGAAGAATTACGATTTTCGTAGCATCACTCTTGAATGATATTTATGTTAATGACAGGTGTTGAAAAATTGGTCATCAATCAAAAAAGAGTACTACTTTGCGCCGTTTTCACACTATGCTGGGTTATGAAAATTTGATGATAGCTGGCAAACTACGCGACTTGTGGACTGAAGTCAGAATCAACAAGTTCATTTCTTATTTTTATATTGGAGAGTAATGGAAAAGCCGTTTTCTCAGAAATGATCTATGGTATGATTGCTACGATGATCAATCCGGATTCTAAGGAAATAAATGTGGATATGGACTGACATTCATGGTAAAATTAGCACACTTAGAAATTTGTACAGAAATCAGTAAATTATTATCAAAATCTCATTGACAACAGCTGAACGTTCGTCGATGCGTCGTCGACTTTGGAAAGCAACCGTTTCGTGATGAGTGTGTGAGTGCTGACCACGTTTTGCATCCATTGCTGCAATGAAAGCACTCTGCCCCCCGTTGACGATACTGCACACAATGAAACCACTTGAAGCGGCTCCCGTTTTGATGGAAGAGGCTTATTGGATAGCGGAAGATAAAATGTTTATTGTGTTTTACCTTTTGACTATATAATACGTTTTTTTTTCTCAAAACGTATTGTATAGTGAACAAGAATCCTCGGCTCTGTAAAGTTAATTCGATTGAGCCTTATCAAATAAATTACCAGTGTTGGAATCAGGCATAGAAAATCATTTGCATTTATTTCATACATTCATTTACATTCATTTGCCTCTAACTTTTTTCATCTCCAGAATTCCGCAAAATGATGTATAGAGCTTTTGTAGATTTTGTTATTAGCTACAACTTTTGCTCATAATTAAAATCTGTATCTCTTATGCATCACGAACTAGAGCGGGCAGAAATTTTTACTATTTTTCAGTGAATGTAAAATACATTCACTGAAAAACAGTAGTGGCTTCTGTTCGCTGTGGTTCGTCGTGCATAAGAGATACAAATTTGACTTGTTAACAAAAGTTGTAGCTAGTAACAAAACCTACGAAAGCTTCGTACATCAATTTGCGGAATGCTGTTCAATAAAAAAATGTGGGGGAAAATAAATGTAAATGAATGCACGAAATGAATGCAAATAATTTTCCATGCCTGGTCGGAATACTGTCACTACAGCAATCTACTACAAACCATTTGCAAGACGAAGTGAGAGAAACGAAGTGTAAGAAAACAGACTTGGTTCCATAATGTGTCCCCTGATTTTTGATCTGTCAGGCTAACTAGCTCCTGCAATCTTGTAAAATTCAAATAATTATTATCAAAAGCATCTTGCCTCCGCAATAACTTCATTAAGTAGGCACTTCTTGTCACAATCAAATGTTTGTAGCAGTCGTAGTGGATAGTATGTATTGATATGAGGGGCTTTGTGGCCCCGGTGACATCCATTTTGTTTACTGAGCAGAAGATCAGTGGTTCAATCACAGGCTCATTGACATCAAATATCTGCATCCACTTCGGTTTCGAAACAAAACTATATTGTTTAACAGATCGATTCCATTTGAATGACTACATGATGCAGAGTTTGATAAATCATCGTTCGTAATAGTTTTTTGAGATAAGAGGAGCTTGGTGACCTAGTAGCAACCGTTTTTGCTTACTGAGCAAATCGTGGGTTAAATCTCAGGTTTTTTTTCTAGAAAATCACTGCTGATTAAACTCGTTCAAAACTGTGCTGGGAAAAATGGTTATGGAAATGAAAACTCCTTCGAACATACAATGTCTCAAAAAAATCGAATATGTATGAGTTGCCGAAGAAATACCGTTTTTAAGGCCACAATTACACTGTAAATCTCAATATTTCATAACCTTCCACGCAGTAATTAAAACTTGTCCCTCCAATTTTTTAACACCGAAATGTTCACCATAATATGTGAAATCTCATCACGGTATTAGTTTTTGAAAATATTCGCCCCATTTTGCGATTTCACTTCTGTAAAACATCATGTTTTGATGAAATAAACCCATGTATTTTTTTGTGAATTACTAGATAGCGTATTGCTGTCTTGTCGAAAGTTGTGTTTTTTATAAAACTAAAAACTTTTTTGAACATGATATGCCTTGGAAAAAATAGACAAAAAAGTTAAGGCCGAAAAATCGATTTTAAGGGGGTTTCCATAAGGAATGCTTCATATCTCAATGAAAATGATATGCTAGCATATTTGTGTCTTCAGCAAAGTTTATGAAAATTATAAGTTCTACAATTTTGAAGAACATTTCAATAACAAAAAACAGTTCAAAAAGTTAGAATTTTCAAGTGGCACCCCAAATGAGTATAATTTATGGACGAACCGTTCATCAGATGTTTTTGTTTTAAATAAATTATTTTCTTGAGACACCAAATGGCTTAAGCTTCATCTTCATTCGTTATTTTTTTTTTTCTGAAATTCACCTTTCTGAACCACTGTGCATTGATTTGGTGTAAGGCGCTCGGTGGCCTAGTGGTGAGCAGAAAAGTTTGGGTTTATTCTCAACAAATTTAAGACATGACAATCAGTTTTAAAGAAACAGAGGACGATGAGATAACATAACAGAAAAATCATATTAACTTAAGGAAATTTGCAGTGACTAACAAGGAGTTCCTTAGAATTATGGGTTGTTCCGAAAATCCTAAAATTGATCTTTAAACTTTAGAAGATTCAGATAATTATAAATATATATACATCAGAAAATTTACCCGAACGTTTGATCAATTAAGAGAAATTAAGTTAAGTATACAAAACTTCAGAGCTGGACTTTCCAGGAAAAATTAGTGATTTAAGGCAAAGTTCCGTGAGCCTTTGTAAACTTAAGGAAAATTGTAGAACTTAAGGTGATACTCTAAGGAAGCCTTTGCGTGTAACTTTAAAGGCACAAATGTCAGCTTCCACAAAACATACAAATTTGAAATTGCTACTCTCTGTTTGTAGTAGCACAGCAAACAAGGAGTAGCAATTTCAAATTTGTATGTTTTGTAGAAGCTGACATTTGTCCCTTTAAAGTTTCACGCTAAGGCTTCCTTAGAGTATCACCAATTCAATCAATTCCAGTAAAATGACGGGTTCTTTAAGAAAAATATTAAGATATTCAGGGCAGTAAAGAGAATTTTAAGGAAGTTGAGAAATATTTTGAGCAGTTTTAAAAACATCAGAAAACTCTAGACTGTTGAAGAAGTTATGAATTAGTTTCGATAATTTGAACTACAGACAAATCATGAGAACTTCAGTGAAAATCGTAGAACTATATTAAATATTTCGTTACGGGAGCTTAAATAAGTTTCTGAAATTTCAGAATAACTTCGAAAACTTCACATAAGTACAGAGATCGTCATAAACTTTTCGAGAACTTAATAAAAGTCTTGGGAACTTTAGAGAAGATCCGACTACTTCA